TTTTCCCCCCCCCCCCACAAAATACGCTTCTAAACTGGAAACCGGTTCAGTTTTTTTTTAAAGTGGATGTTCATTTCGTTCGTTTCCAAATGAATATGTGTTTACATCGGGGAAACGTATAAGAGTATAATTAAATATTGTGAATGCCTGTAGAAATGACTGGACCCACTCGTCATCCCTTTGTCGTTGTATGACTCGAACCTTTGAACTGCGAAAACAATCTTTGAATTGGTTCCCGTACAGCGTCTGCGCCCCCTTTATCGTATCTTTTCTGCTTCAAACTGCGTCGTTCTTTTGTCTTTACTTTGCGAATGGTTTGAAGAAACGGGAGAAAGATAAAATATAAGTCGGAAGTAATTAAATTCTGCTCCAATTCCGTTCGTTTCCCGTTTTGAGAAGGCCCTGTTTCTTTTCCCTTTTAGAATGCGTCCATTTTGTTTTCTGGCATTATTGATAGTTTTAAATAATGTGTTAGTAGTTTCGTATGAATTGGCCGATGTTTACAGAGGCGCTTACCACGTTCATCGTTGAAAGTCTGTACATTAGGGGGAAAAATTGGATTTGGTAATTCTTACTGGAATTTCTGGATTTAACCCGGTCGCAAATTTAGGCCGAGCTAACGCTGGGTTTTTTGGGTTCAAACCGTGTATGTTATGTGTGTTTTTAATCATCACTGATCGCCTTTCGTCGCCATAATTTCCTCAGTTTATGGGCTGTTCTCTAAGTTGTCCCACTAAGGGCGGAGCATTCATGTTAATCGTGTTATCCCGGCTAACACATTAAAAAACTAAAGATAATTTTTTTTTTGTATATTACATTGATGGTATATTGGTACTCCATACACTGGAACAGAGCAGAACCGATCAGATAAAACGTGTCGTTAGTGTAGGTATTGTTAGCCAGCTGGTTGAGGCTAACGCTCGCTTCGAGCGCCTGGCTGTCTGTAGCTAACGATGCATGTTATCTGATCTGTTAACTTCCGGTGTATGGAGTTCCACTGAAACAGGAAAGTAAGACAGAAGGCCTTATTTTTTGGTGCTTCAAAGTGTTAGCCGAACTAACTCTCGCTGTGTTGCATTGTTTATATGATCTTCTGTAGACTGTACCAACCAGTTTGGGAGTTCAGTCACGGTTAGATGAATACGGCTTTGTTGACCCCGGAAGATATTGGCAGACCTTGCCAGAAGAAATTATTCTGATGCAAGTGAACGATACGCGTTTGCTGAAGACATGCTGTAGATGTTTCCTAGTCATTTTCATGTTGGAGACCTCTTTCAGAGACCAGATTTTTCATTTTTATTCACACGCCATAATCACTCGTCTACAGACTCGTCTTTCACGTATGAAAAAGTGTGAAACTGATGAGGGAGTTTTTCATCAATATTTTATTCGGAGGTTGTCATTCATTTCTCATTGTGTAGTTTTATGTTCATGTGATGCTCAGAACTTCAGTTTATACGAAGGACTTCATCATGAACTGAAGATATTAGAATACTGATTAAATATGGCGGCGTACATAATATATGTATAGTCGGCGCAATAGTTTTTGGCCGGTGGAATTTTCAAGGGGAAGGCTAGGAGCGAGTCACTGACTGCACCGAGGAGCTTGTCGGACTGAACGCCCAAACAAAAGAAATACGCTGACCGTGCCACCTCAGGTACACAGACTAGGCCCGTCCGCCAGCTCCGCTAGCTTATAACAGACAGAGCTTGTGTGATTAGTAGAAGGATAGTTTGCGGTTAGTGAGGATGGGTTTCGACATTTTATCTCAGACCGTCATTATAACACTGTATAGTTAATAAAAGTGAGTAAGTATGAGTTTAGTTATTGGAAATATTTCCAATAGAAAGTAATTCGCGTATAATTTTTTTTTTCTGTGATATGGTTACGTGTGAAATATTGAATGTGTTCATTCCAGCCGAATGGCGGTTGGAAACTGTGATGAAAGACAAAAGGCTTGTTCTGGAAACTGTACCAAAGGAAATAATTTATCATGAGATAAATTGAAAAGGGAAAGGACGCTTTGAAGCTGGAGGCATGAGCAGAAATTGAATTTATAGCGACTACGCTTCTTGCATTATAAAACTGGAACATGTCACAAACATTTTGAAAATATTCTTTCCGTAAAATATCTTGATTACCGATACAGCCAAACTTTGGTTCGTATGAAAAATTCTAGATGTCTGCCGGGATGTTGTGGTTTGTTGTAGTGTTATTGTCCTGATGATGGGGTCAGTAAAAATCTCTGAAACGTCTGACCATTTTTACGAGACTACATATCGCAGCATCCCAGTAGACGGTCATCTTCATACTGACCGCCGTGAGAATCAGAAATCTCACGTGTGAAAATTGTACGTCTGATATAATTTCAGTTTCATGAAAATTATGCAGAAATCTACACGTGGATGTTTTTACTTCCAAAGCGGAGTCTTGGTGTTATTTTCACCGGGGAGGTTGGTGCAGCTGCAACGCTGTTCGTGTGCTTTAGGAATTTCTCTGTTCGAATCTCTCCCGGGCTGTTTCTTCGTGGGAATGTCAAATGTCTTATAAATTTTAATTATTAATTTCAAACTTGTTAATGCATAATACATAATTATTTTTATTACATAATTATAATGTAACTAATATAATTATAATAAATATTTGTTACATAATTGGTTTTGCGATCATCGCTTAAGGCGTCCATAACATTACCTTGAACACACGCTAATCAATACAGGATTATGGAGATGGCGTACATGTAATAGTGATGTCGTCTTGTAGAACGAATTAAATGCCCTCGTTGCTGCTGGCATTAGCTCAGCGTCTGTGTTCTTTTGTTTTCAATTAGAAAGACTTCTCGTCTTGGCTGTTGACTGCATACCAACACAGTCGAGAAATTAACACAATTAACAGTTTAGGACTTGTGAAGATTATTCTGTCATCTGGGTAAATTTATTTGATTTTAGTAATTTTATTGGGAATTTTCAAGATTTGGTAGTAATGGATGAATGCACTACTCAAAATATGTAATTAAAAAAACTAGGATTGTAAGACGTTTTAGGTTTTTATCGTCTAAATGATGTCTATGCCAGATACTTTTGAGCCACGTGTGTTTATCGTAAGCCATTTATATGGAAAAGTAATTAATTAATAAGTGTAATAATTACTTCTCGCGGCTGTTTTAACTTAAATATGCTCACTTCGCGAATTTTCTGTACCTAGTACAGCATAGTACATAAATAAATCGTGTATCTATAAATCGGAGCTTGATATATTTTTAAAATCCTGTTTTATTTGCTTACTTAATGGCGAGCTATTTCTGTCTGTTGGTAATTATTCTGTCAATTATTACGATGTTGCGCCCACTGTAATGCCCCCGCGTGGTTTGCGGGAGGGGTCGTGAGCGGTGTCGTTTCAAAACCACATTCTTGAGACTTGTCGTTAACGATACTACTGATTGATGATCTTTTGACGGTAGACGAGTTCTTGGGTCGTCAATGCCTTTATTCGGGAAGGTGTCAAATGTCATAATCCGAAATCGATTTTGTCGTTTGTAAGACAGCAGAGGTCATGATAAACATTTTTCAAACGATCTAATATTTAGGGACGTTAGGAAGTTGAGTTATTCACCACTGGCTGAGCGATTTACAAAGAAGATATTTTCTAAAACTGTGGAGGGGTGCGATGAGGTGACAAGGGATGAAAGAAATGAGGGGCTTCATAATTTGTACTATTTTCCAGTCGTGACACACGTCAGCAATGCCTAAAGCCAGCACAACCAGGTGTAACGAAGTATTTCACAAAACGCAAGGAGGAGGAAATCGTGGATAATAACTTTTTATATTATCGATGTTTTCTTAAGTCAATGGAACGCCTGTTCACGTGACCTTGACGCGGCCGGATAGACTTGCGCGAAAAGGTCTGGTCGTCTGCGTGGTTATGTGGCTGGAGGCTTTCCCCCACCCGTTTCCAGCCGCTCTCTCGAGAGGTTCCACGCTCCTTCCCCTCCTCCCAAGCCTTATTACCCCCCTACCGACATAACCACGTGGATGGCCAGCAATTATAGTGTTTTGTTGTTTGAAAATATAATTTCGTCGTGATACAATTGAAAACATACAGACGTGTTATTAAAGAAGCTGTACAGATGTACGCAAGCATCCACGTGGGAGACGTAAGGGGTAAGAGTGTGGTGCGGCGCGGAATGATTTTTTTTAATGCTGTGACTCGCCTCATAAGGCCCCTCAAGACTGAAAACTGTACGGCTGTTCTGACTAAGGTATCTTGTGGGTTACCTCAACCCATCTAAGTACAGGCATACCTCGTTTTATTGTGCTTCGCGTTATTGCGTTCTTTTACAAACTGAAGGTTTGTGGCAACCCTGCGGCGAGCAAGTCTATCGGCGCCATTTTTCGAACAGCATATGCTCACTTCGTGTGTCTGTGTCACATTTTTGTAATTTAATGTTCTCGCATTGTTTTTTTAGACATGAAGCTATTGCACACTTAATAGACTACGGTATAGTGTAAACATAACTTGTATATGCACTGGGAAACCAAAACAATTTGTGTGACTCGCTTTATTGTGGTAGTCTGGAACCGAACCCGCAATATCTCTGAGGTATGCATGTAATGACATTACCTGAAATTAGCCCACAACAGCTTCATTCCATATTCTTTCCAACAACAAATTAATGATCTTGAAGATAGCTGTCTTCTGGGTTGGGTGCAACAACCCAGAAGACAGAAATCTTCAACTTGCTAAGATGATGGTGTTCAACACATCCACACCCTGTTTTATTTCATTTGCAGCATCCTGTTTGCCGATATTGTTGGTTTCACAGTATTAGCATCACAGTGTACAGCACAAGAATTGGTACGCCTTCTGAATGAGCTCTTTGGACGTTTCGACCAACTTGCTAATGTAAGTATATTTTCATACATTTTTCCACGCAGGATGTATATATTATATAATGCAGTAAGGTTAGATAATTATGTTTAATGAAGTGTAGTTGTTACATTCATCCATTTGGCTTTGCATTTGTATTTGAGTTCTTATATAATTAGAGGTGTGAAAATGGGGTGTCACAATGAGAAACTGAAAGAAGTTCAGAGATCCACTATAAAAATTCTTGTAACAAATTAATCCTTGACAGTGAAGATATCAGATTTTCATAGCAGTGAGTTTGAAGATTGCAGTCTTTTGGACCCTTGTGCCATGTAGTCTGGTAGAAATAGGCCATCATTTCAGAGGTGCTTACTGCCTCCATCATCATGTAGTAAGCACCTCTGAAATGTTAGTGAATTTCTATAAGGCTATGCGGCCCCAGATTCCAGAAGACAAGTCGTCTTCAATAAAGATATGACATGTAGGTAAGATTTGAGGTTTTCACAGCGGTGAGTATGAAGATTTCTGTCTTCTGGGTTGTTGCTCTGTGTAGTCTGGTCGATGTTAACCAACGTTTCAGAGGTCATACTGCCTCCGTCATCAGGGCGATTCTTAGTCTTGAAGATTTCTGTCTTCTGGGTTGTTGCGCTGTGTAGTCTGGTCGATGTTTACCAACGTTTCAGAGGTCATACTGCCTCCATCATCAGGGCGATGAGTATGAAGATTTCTGTCTTCTGGGTTGTTACGCTGCGTAGTCTGGTCGATGTCATCATCGCCCTGACGACGGAGGTAGTATGACCTCTGAAACGTTGGTTAACATCGACCAGACTACACGGCGCAACAACCCAGAAGACAGAAATCTTCATGACATGTAGGTGTTCGTTGCCCTCGGTGGATTAGTGGTTAGCGTGCTCGCTGGACCCAAGATAGTCATTCAAATTTTTTTAGTGAAACGTGCAACATCGTTCACATCAAACATTGCCTCGACTGGAGTGCTATTTGATGAAAGACTCTTGGGAGTGCTATTTCTTTTCGTAACTTCTTTTTTAAGAGATCTAATTTTCTTTCTTCGCAGTTCCCCCATCCCTTTTACATCACTGGAAATGCAAGTTTTGTTTGTTGAAAACTTCATTTTTCATACCGGTTTAGTGGTTTTGGGCTTCTCCCAGTTTTTTCTCTTTGCTTCCATATGGAATCTTGTGAAGCCAGTAGGTGAATTACTTGATAGAATAGTAGTAATGCATTCAGGTTGGGACCATGGCAGGAGTTACAGAAATCGCCGTGAGGGATCTCATAAATTGCATGCATAAGGAAAGGAAGGAGAGAGGAAGATTGAGTCATTTATCAGCTTGACTCCTTTTCACTATGTGAAAAAGAAGAATAAAAGAAAATGATGGCTGGGGAGGGTGAAGGAAGAAAGAGTAGAAGATTGGTTCAGAATGGGAAGGTTAAGTACGTGGGGAAGTGGAAGTCTTGAGCACTGGGGTAAAAAGGGGGATGGAAGACGATGTTGGCGGCACACTGCACAAGGGCTCTTCATGACGGGGCCTTTTACATGTCGCCAAGAGCTGTTATGCTATTGTGTTAAAGAAAAGTTTATAATTAACTTTTTTGAAAGAATGTTTGTGTTACAAATTGCATACTACTTTTCCAGCCATGAATAGCAAGAGGCAGTGAAAAATATTGTTAGCTCTGAGATGTTTATTCGCTTAAATTGTTTTAAAAAACTATACTTTGGGAACAATTGTTTTCGTGGGAAATGTGATTACATTTGATATATTCTCCTGGAATCCGTCATTCAGCACTGTGTAACCTCAGTAGGTGATTTTGTTTAGAATAATCTGTAAAATCTTGTGAATTGTTCGTACTGTTTAGGATAACCATTGTCTGCGGATCAAGATTCTGGGTGACTGTTACTACTGTGTATCTGGCCTGCCTGAACCTCGCTCAGACCATGCCCATTGTACCGTTGAAATGGGCCTGGATATGATAGATGCTATAGCGTAAGTAAAAAGTAAAAGTAAAAGTAAAGTTTGTCCCACTATACGCCATGTAGGCGTTTGGGGTGAGAGGAGGTATAGCTCCTCTCTTCCTTGACCTCGGCGCTAGATGGGGGTGAGTGGTCAGCATCACGCCCCGGCCGGCTTTACTCCCGGGAAAGGACCCCGGTACCCATTGTAGAGGAGGCTGGGTGGGCCCCAGAGCCGGTCTGGACACAGAGGATAGAGGAAAAATCCTCTGCCCCTGTCAGGGATCGAACCCCGGTCGTCCAGCCCGTAGCTAGTCACTATACTGACGGAGCTATCCTGGCTCATCTATAGCGTAAGTACACATTATTATTATTAATATTATTTATAGGTTATACATGTGGTAAGACAGGGTTTCTCTACCTTTTCCAAACCTGGACCACAAGGCTACAAATGAGGACAGTTTATTGAAACATGACAGCAGTTTACTAAAAGTGTTGATAAATTCGGCCTTCTATTGTAAGCAGGTTAATAAGAACCAATTTAAATTAGCAGTTCTTTATTTTCTTTCACTATTTTAAATTAGGTT